CCTGGCATGCGTGGGGCCCGGGGTTCGATCCTCAGCACCACATATAAACAAAGATGTTGTGTCCGCAGAGAAGTAAATAAATAAATATTAAAATTCTCTTTCTCTAAAAAAAATAAAAAATAAAAAAATAAGGGAAATACAGAAGTGCAGGGGAAACTGGTAGAAATTTTGCTGCTCCACCCTGGCTCCATCTCCAGACTGGCCCCTGATATAGCCCTTCTACAAATATTGGACCCCCAGTCCAAGTCAGGGCCACTTCTCATTCTAAAGACAGCCCACATTCTCCCTTGCTTTTCTAAATAAACCTCTGTCTCAGCCTCTGTCTGGCTTGTGCTGAACTTCTTTTCCTTTGCACTAAGAATCCCGCTGATTCTGAGTTGAGTTCCGGCTGTCCTCTGGGAACTCCTCAGACCCTTCCCTGAAGACACCTCTTCTCCAGTGACAATTCCACTTCAAGCTGGGAAGTGCCTCATGAGCGTGTCCTGCTGCTGATTCCCTGGGAGATGCTCCTTGCTCCGTCAGCATCCCATCCATCCCTGATCTCTGCTCTGCTTTCTGACAGAGAACAGCAAAGTTTGCCTTTCCTGGCCTCAGTGGACTAGGTCCCAGGAAATACCTACTGATGTCCACAGTCCTTTGGATATTTCCATAAAAGCAAGCATCTACTCCATCTTGTGGGACAAAGGGGTTGGGCCTCACAGTACCCCTCACCCTTCATTTCATGGGATTCCCAGCACAGGAGCAACACCATTGATTGAACACCACCCAACAGCAAAGGCTGTCCACAGTCAACCCAGCACCACCAGGGCCTCAGAAATCAGACTGTTAATGTCACTCTTGCTGATTTGTCAGAGGTCTTTGAAGCTGAAAGCATCCTTGGCAGTTGCTGAGGTCAACCCACTGAGGACTGAGGAAGGCACAAGTTAGCTCCCCATTGTCTCACAAGATTTACAGCAGGTTTTTTCCTTGCATACTACATGTAAGAATAAAATACTGGTTAAATAACCTATGAAGCTAGGCACAATGGTGCATGCCTGCAATCCCAGAAACTCAGGAGGCTGAGATGGGAGGATCTCAAGTTTGAGACCAGCCTCAGCAATTTAGCAAGATTCTCTTTCAAAAAAAAAAAAAAAAAGAGAGAGAGAGAGAGAGGTGGGGAGGGGCTGGGGATGTAGCTCACTGGTAATGTGCCTCTGGCTTCAATCCCCAGTTCCTAAATAAATAAGTAAATAACCTATGGCAAAGCAGAGAGAGGCAAACACTATATGATCTCACCATATGTGGAATTTAAAGAAGTCAAATTCTGAAGTAGAGAGCAGAATGCTGGTTACCAGAAGTGGGGGTGGGTGAGTGGAAAGGGAAGCCATCAGCTAGTCAAAGGGTATAATGTTTCAGACAGGAGGAAGAGCTTCTGGTGTTCTGTTGCAGAGCACAGCTACTAACATTAATAATAATGAATTGTATATTTTAAAAATTTAAAAAGATTTTAAATGTTCTCACTGAAAAGAAATGATAAATGTATAAGGTAATGAACATCCTAAATAGCCTATTTAGTTATTCTATGATGCACAGATGTAGTAAGACATCATATTGCACCTGTAAATATATATAATTATTGTTTATCAATTTAAAACAATATTTTAAAAACTTGGGCAAATCTCCTTTGGGATTTACTAATGGTAATATCTCTAACACCATGGAGTAATATATTAAATATGTTATTAAGTAGAAAAAGCAAGGTTAAAAACATAAAATGTGGCATATCCATATACTGGAATATTATTTGGCAATAAAAAAAGAAATACTGGTACATGCTACAACATAGATTAAGCTTGAAAACATGCCAAATGAAAAAAAAAGGGGCTAGCAGGTGTGCTGACACCTACCTATAATTTCAGCAACTTGGGAGGCTGAGGCAGGAAGATCATAAGTTTGAGGCCAGCCTTAGCAACTTATTGAGTCCCAAAGCAACTTAGCAAGGCCCTGTCTCAAGATGAAAAATTTTTAAAAAGGGCTGGGGATGTGGCTCAGTGGTAAAATGCTCCTGGGTTCAATCCCAGTACAAGGAAGGAAGGAAAGCAGGGAGGGAGGGAGGGAAGGAAGGAGGAAGGCAGGCAGGCAGGCCAAAGGTCCCATAGGTCCCATACTATATGATTCCACTTACATGAAACATCTACAATAGCAATTCCATAGGGAAAGAAAGTACCTTAGCAGCTGCTTAGGCTTGTAGTGGGGGAGTTGGGAGAAACAGGGTTGATGGGTACATGATTTCCTTTTGGAATAAAAATATCCTAAAATTGATTATGGTGACGTTTGCATGACTCTGAATATATTAAAATCATTGAGTAATACTTAAGATTAATTGTATAGTACGTGAATCAATAAAGCTAAATATTAAAAAGTTAAACCTGGAAAAAAAGCAAGTTAGAGAAGTGTACAATATGCTCTTGATCTCCTTAGAAGGGGTGCTAAAACTATAATGAAGATTCACATCAGAAGGATAAAACATAAAACAAAACTTTTCTTTTCCTTTTTTTTAACCTATGGGGAAAAAGAAGGGATAATAGAGTTGAAGTTAAGGGGATAGAAGCCAGAATTCTCTGAATAGACTTTCTAAATTTGGATTTGAAATCATGAGAATATTTGAATAATTTAAAAAACAATTCAAAATGAACTCCTATTTAAAAATCTGGAACAAGACAAAAGATGTCCACTTTCACCACTTCTATTTAATATAGTGCTAGAAATTCCAGCTACAGCATTTAGGCAAGAGAAGGAAGTAAAGGTATAAAAATAGAAAGAAAGAAATCAAATTACCACTGTTTGCAGATGATATGATCCTGTATTTAAAAGATCCAAAAAACTCCACCAAAAGATTGCTAGATTAGCTGAGTGTTGTGGCACATGCCTGTAATCCTAGCAGCTTGGGAACCTGAGGCAGGAAGATTGTGAGTTCAAAGCCAGCCTCAGCAAAAGCGTGATGTTAAGCAACTCAGTGAGACCCTGTCTCTAAATAAAATACAAAATAGAGCTGGGAATGTGGCTCAGTGGTAGAGTGCCCCTGAGTTCAATCCCTGGTACTCCCCTCTACAAAAAAAAAAAAAAAGACTGCTAGATTAGCTAGAGCTACTAAACAAATTTGCCAATCAGGTTATAAAATCAACATACAAAAATCAAATAGCTTTCCTAGATACTAACTAGGAAATAATACTAATAAATACACTAAGAAAGAAATTATGAAAACAATCCCATTTATACTAGCCTACACATAAACAAACAACAACAACAAAACACTTAGGAATAAATCTAACTAAGAAGGGAATTGATTTCTACAATGAAAACTATTGAACATTGAAGAAAGAAAATTGAAGAAGACCTCAGAAGGTGGAAAGACCTCCCATGTTCATGGATAGGCAGAATTAAGATTGTTAAAATGGCCAAATTACCAACAACCAATTGAATTCAATCCCCATCAGAACACCAATAACATTTTTAGAACTAGAAAAAGAGTCCTAAAATTCTTTTGGAAGAACAGAAGATCCAGAATACCCAAAACAATTTTAAGCCAAAAAAAAGCAATGCTGGAGGTATCACAACACCTGACTTCAAATTATACTACAGACCTA